CTCTCTCTCTCTCTCTCTCTCTCTCTCTCTCTCTCTCTCTCTCTCAAATTTGGCATCAATTGATTTAACGTGAATAGGTGCTAGGTAGCAACAACGTAACTCAGTCGGTACCCTTACAAGTACAGAGTTCGGTAACCTAACTGGATTTGCCTCAAACAGATGGTTTAATATGCGTTTGCTTGGGCAGCCTGAATCCTCCTCGTGCAGCACAAACTGACAACATCTGCTCCAGCCTTGGACTGCAAGGGCCAGAGTCCGCTTAGAGTAAATCTTTTTTCACCTTATTCATAAGTGCCAACGTCTGCTGAATTAACCGCAACATGCCGAATGAGTATATTTGTTCTCCAAACATATTATGTGCACAAGGTCATGAGTGTAATGTTTTTATCTAAGATAAAAACATATTAGAATAAGACTGAAAGGACTGAATGAAGTAGAAGCCGAGTGGCAGCGATAGCAGATCATTTAAAGGTGCCCTGTAGACTTGATGACCACCGATAGCATTTTCAACACTTTTCCGAGTGGCTCCCTGTATTTTTTTGTTCTCGAGCACACTCACTAGGACTCACATGCAAGCACTCGGGCAACGCCATTCGCAATCCTGCCAATCATTTCACACTTTTCCACTGATCCACAGGTGGCAGTGAGGGGCCGAGAAACAAAGCAATGCAGCAACAAAGGCAGTGAAGAAGACTGCAAGCCAGTAAATGGGGAAGTAAACAATGCGTTTACTTCCCCAACAAACAAACCGTTTGGGCTTTGCAAATGTTTTATGAGGAAGGAACTTAATCCAACATTTGTGAGACATCAATGATACACACATTGCTTTTGGTGAGTTACACTGAGTTTAAATGGTAAGTTGGTTTACAAGAAGACTCCACGAGGGATAAAATGAATCAGAAAATGAGAAGTAGGGTCATTATATCTCCGGTCCTGTAGGCTATTTGACATTAAGATTGTTCAAAGACTTCTTTTATTGTATTGGCAGGAGCCTCGTCGATACCTTTCCCTCCCCTAGTCATTTGTGTGTATACAGTGTGTGTCTATGTTGTATTCACTTGCCAGCCTGTGTTATGGCAGTGTGTGTGTGTGCGCGCGTTTGTGTGTGTGTGTGTGTGTGTGTGTGTGTGTGGTGTCTTCATACAAGCCTGTATTTCTGTAATGTGCTGGCCTCTCTGGTGAGCCAGGCCTCCACAGTGGTCCTCTTACTCTGTAGGGTTGTCTCCCGCTGGGTGCGCTCAGCTTGAGGCAGTGACGACAGGCTGCTCAGCTGGGCTAACGGAGCAGGAGACAGGCACGACATTACAAACACCTGCTACTACACAAAATGTTCACTTTTGGGAGAATAAGGTAACTCTGGTAACTCTTGCCTGCAGGTTGTTGTCTATAAAGATAGAGTCAAACTGGTGATGTTTAAAATGCGCCCCCAAGGCATTGAAGCAAAACACCCAACTGGAGCTAAGACATCTTCAGTGGTCTTCTTTTGTCCGGGAGTGGAACATTTGACTTTGTTGCACTTTGTAATTGGTAAATTCACCCTTCATACATATGAGCCAATGAATGTCAAAAAGGTTCTGTGCTGATTAAGGGACGGGGTATAACATTTAGGGGTTCTTACTGACAGCATGAACGATCGACCAAAAGCTGTTCTTAGTAAACTTCTCTGAGAGGACAGAAGGAATGACTGATACTGACGGATATTCTTCAATCTTTATAAACTTCACTCAGAAATGTTATTTATTTGTTTCCAGTGAGATATTAATGACTTTATATAGAGACTTTGTTGTTGGCAACACGACTGTTGCTGCTCCGGAAACAATATTTAGATATACCTAAATTATAAATAGAATCTAAATCTGTTCTGAATTGATTTGTTTTTAAAATCTTATACATGTTTTTAAAACAATTATCCAGTCATGTAGAAGAACAGAGTATTGATACGAGTCGCTCCTATTCATACTAACATCCTACAGAAACCTATCCCTACCTGAAGGCCACCGTAGTTCTCCGACATGCTTGGAAAGCGAGGGCTGAGCTGAGGGCTGTTTAGTTGGTGGCAACCTGCCACAAACCACTAGATACCACCAACACGTGCACACTGTCCCTTTAAGGGTACCGGTGTATCTTTAGTATTATGTTGAGCAGAAACTCATTGTTTTAGATTGGGAACACTTATGTAAAGCACTGAAAGAAATCAAAACAATACAGATTGGGAGTGTTTCTACATGCATGCGTGTGTATGTGTGTATGCATCTCTCATCCTCACCCTGGATGCGCAGGTTCTCCTGGTACTGGATAATGAAGTACTCCTGGCTGTGCTGCAGCTTTCTCAGTTCATTCTCCGTCTCCTGTGTGGCCAGGCGGAGCTCTTCAAAGGACTGGTTGATCTGCTGGTGGCGCTGTGACAGGCTGTCCATAGCCTGCACCCCACTCCCACAGCTGGCCTAAACACATATTTAACAAACTCATCGTCAGTTTGCCTCTATCAACATCGGACTCCAACACGTGTTATTCATTGTTGGTAGATAATGCCTGGGGAATGTTGTGCACGGAGGTCGTGGGATTCCTGCAAATGACGACACCTTTAACACTTACATTTGTAGCTTCTTGAACCAGCCGTTGCTCTGAGTGCAGGATGTGTTTAATGCAGCGCACCAGCTCCAAAGGACAGCGGTCATAAGTGCTCTGCAGGTACACACACACACAAAGGACTATTTAAAATCACTTGGTTCAATCCAATACCATACCAACAATTTGACCAATCTTCGGTCACGCTCTTATAAAGTGGCGGTGTGAAAATAAACTTCATAGTGGTAACTCCTTAGTGCCCATATATTACCTGAAGCAGAGACTGCTAAACCGTAAATCGTGGGCCAGCACAGAAGAACCAATATTTGACAGAAAGAGACGATTAAAGGCAAGGTTGTTAATCTTCTTCAAAAACATTTGATATTTTTGCTGAAATTCTCATTACAGCAATCAATGAATTCAAGAGCTCTGACAAAGAAAAGAAAAGAAACCGTATCTGAGTGAGGCTGTCTGTAATAAGCCGGTCCATTCATGACAGCTGTGAGAGCTAACGGCAGCCATGTTTGTTGTTTACGTTCATAATGATCACTTTGGCTTTGAGGAGGTTAGAAAGGAAGGACTGTCAGCGTTGATGACTTGGCAACTTTCTTGCTAGATTCAGTGACTTCTGGAGCTAGCGCTGTTAGCTACTTTCATCAGAATAGAGTTGTAACACTGGGGTGGGTTTTTGGGTTGGATAATTTAAAAAGTCTAGCGTACTCTTGCTAGTTTCTTATTACCAACCCTGCCTTTAATAACTATATAACTTTATAGACTATTACAGGCTACTAAATACCTTGATGTTGACCCGGTGCCTTAAAAAGGAGTAAGCTACAAATAACAGCAGATCTGAAAAAATGATTTTACTGAGCATACCAACATAACTTTAATTAGGTTTAAAGTTATTCAGAATGTTTCTTTCAGTAAAATGTTCGAGAAAACATGGCACCCAGTATATTCCAATGAAAGTTACCAGTACCTGCCATTCATAATCTACCGACACAGCTCTTTGTGATATTCTTAAGTGTGTGCACCCTTATGGATCCTTTCAGGATGTTTGTGATGCGCTGAGTGCCATATTCCCCGAGTAAGGTAACAGAGGAATCTTACAGGATACGTTTGTTTGAGTTGACAAGAGTATCACTACAGCTGAGAAATGAGACCTGCTTCGGTTAAGTGCACTATCATTTCCTAAAGTTCCAGAGAGGTTTCAGGGCAGGCTTGTTCTCCATCATCTTAAGAGTAGCTGTACCTTGAGCTGGTTGGCGTAGTGGCCCAGCTTGATCTTGAGCAGGAAGCCATCCTCTCCTCCTTGGAGCTGGGCTTTCTTCTGCAGCTCGGCCACCAGGTTTTCCAGCAGACGCTTGGCTTTAGCTTCCTCCGCTGGGTTGTCCAACTCCACCGAATCCCTGTGAGAGCACATTTAACAATTTCTAACCAATGTATGTCGAGCTCAGTGCTGCTTCACTATCGTTGACATAAATCTCTCATCAACTTTGACTATCTAACAAGAAATGAAACAAATCAGAACGTTGCTTGTAAAAAGGTTACAAAAGTGCTTTACAAAAACACAAGGTAAAAAATAGTTCGGTAAAAGAAGTAAAAATAATAAACACAAAAAGTTACAACATAAAAATAATAAATTATAAGAGCATCATCAGGCAAAGTTGGATAAGTCAGTTAGTAAAGAAGTGAAAAAATCAAAACGATATTTCTCCTTTGTTCAACATCTATACAGGCATGTCAGGGCTCCAAATACCAAACATTTGAGCTGTGCACGGCTCTACATGGACTGCTGCACGAAACGTAGACCGCAGTAGAGCTGCAGCTACAGATCATTTGAGTAATCAAGTATTTCATCAATTATTCGAGTAATCAAATATGAAATACGTTTGCTTTATTATTAAAGAGCAACAGTAAATACCTATTTAGAAAAGAGAAAATAAGACATGTCTTTTAAAATGAACAGCTAATTTGTTTCCTTAACCCTGACCCTTAAAGAAGAAATCAACATTTGTATTGCTTAATTTGCATACAATAACTGAACCCAATTAGTGCATTTTAGTGCCATATTATATTCTACGTTTAAAATATAACATTTTCTGAAATGCAAACAAATAATTTTAAAAAGGTACACACCCTGGTGCAATTATAAAGGATTATATTATATTTTGATTATATTCTTTTATGAAGGAATGTATATTACAAAGAAATACGGCCAAATGTAGCTTCTATCCAAAGGGATTGATAATGCCATTGAAATATGGGAACAAGACTACAGATCAAAGTCTTCTGCATACCAGAGCTGGCATTCAATCCACTGGGCCAGGTAGTGTCGCACCTCGATGGGGAAGTGCTGGCCATATAGCGCCTGCATCTGGTGCAAGGCCTCACCCTGCAGCTGCTGGGCCTGGATCCACATTGCCATGGTGCTCCTGTGGAAGCAGGAGGATGGGAGGAGAAAGGATGAAGGAAGAGAGGAAGGAACAGCAGGCAAGAGTAGTAATAAGGAGGATGACCAGTAAGTAGGGATGCCCCTCGATACCCGGTTCTAAACGGGAAGATGAGACCGTAGTAAATATTAGTATCGAGGTCCGGAGTTAACGCTTCTGCTATCGGTACTGTAGAACCAGTGGTGTACAGTAACTAAGTAGAAATACTGCGTTACTGTACTTAAGTAGTTTTTTTGGATATCTGTACTTTACTATTTATATTTCTGTTGACTTTCACTTTTACTTCACTACATTTTGCAAAGAAAACTGATACTTTTACTCGGATACATTTCCCCTGAAACCTTCGTTACTCACTACAAAATCAAATCTATCTTTAGAAACAAAATTAATCATGAGACCAACGTCAGGGACTGTGGTGGAACAGAGACTGCAACAAGCAGGTTTGGCGAATCAGTGGTCCTAGCTTGCAAGTTAAATCATTGGTTAATCACGTTAATGCGCAATTACAAACAAGTGCTCTCAAAGCCACGGTGTTTTGATACCCAGGATGCTATATGCTATAGCTAGCGAGGGACTACATGAGTAGAATTCCACTCTACGATGACTGATTTCATGACGGAAGCAGAAATGGAAGCACCTGCTACTCCCGCAACAAACGACGGTGGTGACAAAGACCAACACCCGTGGATCGCTAGCGAGTTAGTGAGCTGAGGAAGTGTTGACAGTTGTGAGATTGTGTTGATTTGAGTCATCTTAGCTATAATCATTGCAGCACTAGTTGGCTAACGTTAGCTAACTTAACGTTAGCTAGCCACCACACCATAGGATTGACAGGAGCCGCGAGAGCGCAGCATTAGTGTTAGCATTAGTGATAGCATTAGGGGAACCCTTCCCAGCCCTGCACAAGCTGTGTGTGAAGCTGAACACACCTCTACCTGCCTCAGCGGCCTGTGAAAGGCTATTTAGCATCAGGACTAGTCTTCAGTCCAAGAAGAGCGAGACGGAATTCTCGCAATTTTGAAAACCAACTTCTTTTGAAGATGAACAGGACATTTTTCAGGTTCAAGTAATGACTGGGTTGTTACTTTCGGTGCTGCTTTAGTATTGATCATGTTTTG